CTCAAGCAATTTCGACTTGGTGCATCTATTCACGCAGCCTTTCAAAAGTAACTTTCTTAAGCCATAAACACATATTTAATTTTTTTAAAGTGCCTATTTAGCTTCAATAGCTCTTTTAAATAACTAAAACTATCTACTAGATTGTGTCTGCATCAAAAACTTTCCAGCTGGAACGCATATTCGAGGTATCGGGTGGCTAGCTAACAGCAACATTCTCGCAGTTTTATCTGCTTCTATGGAGATTACTTTCTTGTCCACCGATCTTAAGGCGCCTATGATGACAATGGTAATTGCTTTGATATCATATTAGCTTTGATTTTTAAGACTGATTGTGTACACCTTCTAGAAAAGGTTTGCTTTTTCTAAAGTGTACCTCGCAATCTGTCATATTTAAAAAAAAACAATTACCCTTCCAAATTTACGTTTTATGCACATTGCTAAAAACAAATTTTGAATGTAAAGCTTCACTTATTACTTTTTCCACTTAATATCAGATGAAGGAAGCAAGCTTGTTCATTCTCCTATAGTACATGAGCTATACCTTTCAACTTATCATAAGTGTACTCAAGTCTTCCAGTTTTTAGAGTTTGCCCTCTTCAACCCCATGCATTAAAGCGCTCTTATCCTCTGATGTTATCAACGATAACTGTTACCTTTCCGTGTTTCGAGAAAATGGAGAAACTTTTGTTTTGCGAATTTCTGATTGGACTCATCTCGCCCATGCTAGTAAGGAAACTCTAACAAAATGCTGCGAGGTATGTTGAGTTGGTTGCATCGCACGCATTTTCCTTGATAGTATCAATTTTCAGTCGCTAAGCAGTGCTGAGACCCAAACAACATTGTGCAAGTATCCGCCAAGAAATATTATAAACGTTAAAGACTCAGTGGTTGTGGTAGTGTCGCATTAACTTTCCCAGGTTTTTTGGGTATAAAAATATAGTGTCTTAGGTACCTGAAGGGAAAGTTCCCCTTCAAATCTTAACAACGGGGTACTCTGAGTTTGACTCATTAGGAGATACTGAGACAGGTAATGTCTGATTCGGTTAATTTTATCGTTATTTGGTATTCCTGCCTCTATCAAGTAAAATTCAGCGGAATCTTATGTGAGAGTGCGCAGCTGTTGCAAAGCCCGCTTCCTTGTGGGGCTTACGGCAGAAGGTTCTGTTACTATAACCGATCTATGGACTTTTGCTACTGTACTCAGAAAAAACATGAGAACAAACGCGGTTGGTGTGTCTTGAATCACCTCTGTTTTGCTCGGCTCAGAAGCGTGCAGACTAGTTTTTCTTCCAGAATGAAGTCTTCTTTGATTTTATGTTTGTCGATAAGCCTGCAATCGGTCCAAAGATCGGGACGATTGCAGTTATTGTACAATGTGGAGATCATGTAGAGGTAAATTTCCATTTTCTTTTCCTTTATGATCCTTTACACTTCTCCTTATAGATGCAAGTCCGTTCTATGAAAACTCTCGAAGTGGCGTATCGTGTCACGGTGGCGAAAGAAACTGCTCTCTTGCCAGTATCTGAAACGGCTGATCGTGTCATCTTACTTGTGGAGCCATTTGGAACAAAAGTTTTGTGAGTATGCATTTTATTCTCAGCTTCGCAAGTAATTTTCCGTGATGATACGTTTTTCTTGAAAAATCGCAAAACTCTCCATTTCAATCACAAGCTGTTTTCAGAAGTGATGGAGATACAGTGAAAGTGCGAGAAATTGTTGAATCTCAACCTGAAATGAAATTCCAAAGACTGATAAGCAGAGGTCAGTTGGATCAAGCAGAACAGTTTGCCATACAATTTGGTCTAGATGTACAGGTATAGTTTTATCAAACTGCTAGATTCAATCCGTACGGAGTGAATAAAATTCGTGTTATTACTTCAGAGAGTCCACGTAGCAAGAATGGACTACCTTTTCACACAAGCAACTGTAAATGGTTCCAACGAAGATTTCGAGAAATTGATGAAGTCTTTTGAAGCCGTCAAGGATCATAACATGGTAAAGAGAATGTATCTCTTTGTAGTCAAATTACAGCTAGTTTTATAGACATTGTAATATATTTGCTTTCACATGCTACCAGGAGATTTATGCTTGACTGAGTTTTGGCTGGATGTTTGCATACATGCTGCAGAAAAATCTACATGATTGTTGTAAAATCCAATTGCTTCCTCTTACAAGTTGCTTATCCAAATATCCGTGTTTTTTTGGCGTTCCTATAGGACCATCACGCAATGCTTAACCTAAATATGTATAGATGTTAGCAGCATCAACAGTATTAGTTAAGGTTGGTGA